ACTGCTGGCTTATTTAGATTTATTGTTTTTTGTGTACAGTGCCCTGATGTTTTGTTTTAATGAAATGAATAAAGGAATTGAATTGAATTAAAAGGCCCAGTTAAGCAAGGTTTGTGGCGTCAACTAACTCACTCACTCCTGGGTCAGCTAGCAACAACCTGTTGAGTAACAGATCTGCTCTCATCTAAAAACAAGCCAACAAAGAGTACACTGTTCAGGTGTCCTCAGCCAGGTGTGTGTGCAAAAAGAAGAAAGACCCAGGTAAAGGTTCTTCCCTATTTTAAAACTCAGCCCATAACCTAGATTTAAGTAGAATGCACTTCATTATACCTCTCTACACACACAGAGTACAGCCTGAACAGAAGAAACGGAAACTCAACAACAAAATGTTCTTCTTTCCTCTGATTGTTGGGATTTGGAATCTTCAAAAAGGCAAGACTTTTTCTTTTCTGTTTTCTTTTCTTTTCATAAAAATATGTAAAAAAAAAAACAAAGACCTCTTCTTTTCCTTTTTAAAGTTTTCTTTCTTTCTTACCAGAATGCATTTTATGCAATAAACTACTTTTAATCCTTCAGTAACATTGTTTACTTCTAGTTGAAGGACGAATGAAAGTAAATTTTCTTTTTCTTTTAATCAGTCCACACCCTGCAATGTCTTGAGTGTACACCAGACACTTTTGGATCCTGTACTGAGACAACAAAAGAGTGTCCTTCTCAGTATCATCAGTGTGCTTCAGCAAGGCTGGTCATGTTTCTGGGTCTGTTATTGAGCTGTTTTCAGTTGTTTGTATGTCCACTGCTCGGCACCAGTCCTCTTTCTAATGTCCACTTCTTGGTTTTAGAAGGTACAAAGTTTCCTGGCATCGATGCTAAAAGTTGTGCTCTGGCTGAAGTGTGTGTTGATGGCTCATTCAACTTTGGTGCCACCAAAGGTGTGTACAAGACCAAATGCTGCAGCGGAGAGCTCTGCAACAACTACACTGTCTCAGGTAATTTAAAACCTGTTCAGATTTTTTTTTTTGAAGCTGTGAAGTGCTGTAAGTTTTCTGTAGCTTGCTGTACTTACATTTGAGAAATTGATAAAAAATAGATAAAAAATAATAAATAAAACTCCTTCATAAAGAAGTTATGGAGAATAAATCTAACTTTCTTTCTTCAAACAAAATTAAAATCCTTTTCGATGCCATGTGTCTAACAGTGTGTATAATTAGTTTAAAAATTGAGTTTACATCTGGTGTTCAGACATGTTTTCATTTACATCCTGAGAGACCACTTGTGACGAGACCTCAGTCCCTCACTCTAACTGAATATACTATAGGTGACCTCTGCACAGTTAGCTGCTTGTTGAGCAATAATCATCAGGTTAGCTGATGTTTCTGTTACAGTTATTGTCGATTGTGTTGGTTGGGGTGTACATGCAAGTGCCTGTGACATGAAAATTTTCAAATAAATATAAAGACATTGTTGGAAAGATAACATTAACATATTGTAAAAATAATTTCCTGCTGCTGACATGAACAATTGTTGAGATGTTTGCAACAGGAAGTGATGTCAGAGGGGAATGTTTGCATGGAAGCCATTGATAAAATGGGTAAGGACATAGCATGAAGAGAAGAATCTGTTTCTTTGGATTATTTTGAGTCACTATCAGAGAGATATGAAGATGACTCAGAGTTCAATATTGTTTCGATAAAGACTTGAGAGTTCTCTTAAAGCGTTCCCCTTTGATGTCACTTCCTGTTTCACTTTGGCTGAGCCAAGTTCAAAAGAAATTAAAGCTGCAAGCAGCGGTGGGCGGCCCTCGCAGCTTGAGCACCACTCCGGCCATGTGGCGACCACAGGAGAACTGGCATAACCCTAATTTTGCATTTCCAGAACACCCAATTTTCCAAACAATACCTTGTAAAAAAAGGACCTAGGAGGGCTGAGAAAAACTCAAAACTGAAATTCAAAATGGCCGACATGGCACATTGCGTCTTTAGTCATGTCGGTGTCACAAGCAGTGGTCCCTGATGAAACACACAGAATTTGGTGCAGATTCAATGATGTGTAAGTCCTTAAGTTTTTCTCTATTGTAGGTGGCGCTGTTGAGTCAAACTCCAATGTAAACCTATAGGGCTTGGTAGATGGTGTCACTGATGACACACACAAAATTTGGTGCAGATTAAATGATGTGTCAATGAGCTATAAATGTGTATCTATTGTAGGTGGCACTGTGGAGTCAAACTCCAATGTAATCCTAAATCCTCTTCAGAGGTTCCTACTGATGACACACACAAAATTTGGTGCAGATAGGATGATGTGTAAGTGAGCTATAAGTTTTTCTCTATTGTAGGTGGCGCTGTAGAGTCAAACTCCAGTATAATCCTATAGGTCTCTTTGGAGGTGGTCACTGATGACACACACAAAATTTGGTGCAGATTGGATGATGTATCAGTGAGTTATAATTGTTCATCTATTCTAGGTGGCGCTGTTGAGTCAAATGTTAATGTAATCCTATAGGCCTATTCCTAGGTTAACAAAGATCATGTATTTGCAGTTTGGTGCCTATCGGATCATGTACGTGTGATTTAGAGCCAAACGTATGCAAACAGCGAGACAACATCATTCGCCACTTGGTCACGCCCACTCTATCCAGCCAACAGTTAGTGTTGAGATAAGCATGCAGCATCAACTAGTAGTGTCAGCAGACATACAGTAGGTAGAAATCTCTAATAGTCACAGTGTAAAAGATGAGCATACAGCAGGTAAATGAATCACTTCCTGTTTTAAGGGGGCGGGGCTAATGTCACATCATCAAATGAACATGTGAGTGTGATGAGTGCAAGTCAGGTATGACACACCGAATTGATCATACAGGTGTGACTTTCTAAGTGGAAGTTATTGAAGCTTGATGTTTCATGGCGAATGATCAGTTTCTTAGGCTTGGCCACACCCACATGCTTTGCCGCTGCATCATTGTTTTAGATGTTGTTTGATCTCCAATGCCTTAATATTGTGTTGAGTGAATTTGAAGTCTGTAAGTTAAAAGCTTTGGGGGGAGTTCGACCAGATATTTGTACAGGAAATGAGACAAATGGCAGCTTTGATCCAAGATGGCTGACTTCCTGTGGCGCTTGAACCATGGCTCCAAGAGGCTTTTTTGTATGGCCTGATAAGTGACACGTGTGCTGAATTTCAAAACTGTCAGTCAAATCATGGCTTGGGGCTGATGTTTTGAAGCATTGTAGGGGGTGCTATGGAGTAATAAGGCCACGCCCACCAAAAGTTACACCGCATACCTGTTGGGGGCCATATAAGGATCAATCACAGGCGATATGGTGCAGATTGGCTGAAATATGTGGATTTTAGAGCCAAACATAATTCAACGGCGTGACGCCTGACTTTGCCACGCCGCCACGACCACGCCTTCCAGCCAAAAGTCTTGGTGTTTCAAACCAAGTCAGACCAACTTGTCTGTGTTCTGACACAATGTCATGGTGATTGGGTGTAGCTGGTCAGAGATGGACCTTTCCAAGCCCGAAAAGGTCACTTCCTGTCCTCAGGGGGCGGGGCTACAGTGATGTCAGCACAAGACCACATGGTATCCTTGAGCATCAGACATGGATGACTCACAGTGAGTTTGGCTTAATTCTGAGTCTTTATGTGAACGTTATAGCGTTTTGAAAATGTTGGCGTGAAGGTCATTTTTGAGGCCTGGTCACGCCCCCTTGACATGCTCAAAAACTCACCATTTTGATAACTTTGAATCCCCCATGCCTTAACAGCACTCTGACTTAGGTTGAAGCCGATAGGTCGAAATCCCTAGGAGGAGTTCGTAAAAGTTCGAGGTGAGCAAATTTGCAAATCGGCCAAAATTTGACATTTGACCCAAAATGGCCGACTTCCTGTTGGTTTTAGGGCATACCTCCAAGAGACTTTTTTTCTTGATTTGGCGAGATCTACCTAAGTGTCGAATTTCAGCTCTGTAGGACTTACCAGTTCCTGTATCTCACATTAGGTGGGGCGCTGTCGAGTCATTTGGCCACGCCCATAAAAAATTCCAATGGAATCATGAAATTTTCGCCAGGTGAGATGTTTTGGTGAAGTTTGGTGAGTTTACATTAATGTTAAGGCCTCCAAATAAGTTCCGAAAGAGGCAGAAGTATAACAACAACAACAACAACAACAACAACAACAACAACAACAACAATAACAATAACAATAATAATAATAATAATAATAATAATAATAATAATAAACAAGCGAAAAACAATAGGCCTTTGCGGCGCTCTTCGCTGCTCGGGCCTAAATATGCCAATTATGTGACAAAATGGGTAAAATCATGTTTTATGCAAGGTTTCTTTTATAAAAATGGATTTTCTTCGACTTTTTGTATTTGATGGATAGGCATGTCACAGGCACTTTAAGTACAGTGGGCCTCATGCAACAACATGTTCGTATTCTTATCCTAAATTTCTCTTACTTTTGTCACGTCAGATTCAACAAACTCTTTTATCTTCAGGAAAAGGGTGTAAATGAGCTGTGTAAATTGTTTAATGCGTATCAGCTGCTCGTGCACGAGGAGAGGTGATTTACATAATTACCACTCCAAAAAACACCATATAAGGCTATACGTTTCCAGCCTCAGATACCAGGAAGTGTTCGTTCATAAGTGACATTGCAAAGTAAAAAAGAAGAACTAGTTCGGAGATTGAAGTTCTACTCTCGAAGATACACAAAAAAACTAAAACAAAACAAAAAGTCATTTTTAGCAGCGTCAGCTGTGGAATTAAAGGATCTGCTTTAAAGCCGACGAATGAAATGACTGCTGTTAATGTCGTGTCTCCTGTGGGTGTACAGTCACAGAAATAAAAATCTAAATCATATTTGTCTGTGGTCCTGCTCCGGTTTTTATTTGGTCAAACATTTTTAATTTCAGTGTAAACTGTGTTACATGTTGCACTTATTCGGGGGAGCAGTCGCGCACCGCAACCCCACTCCCCGTCGCAAGTGTAGGGTAATTTAGATGTTTAGAATTCTGAACTAGATAATTTGTGGATATAATTAAATATATTATATTTACATATAATATATTTAATTATATCGTTACCTCGGAGCACCACATTCTTAATTCGATCAGATACTGACCCAGGAAAGAAATGAAAAACTGTAACTTTATTGTAATCAGTCTCAGAATATATTTAACCCCATTGAGTTCTTCTCTTATCAAGGTCGGTATTTCTCATCAAGACACAAAGAAAAATTGAGATTAGTTCAAATTGGCAAGTTCTCCACAAGCCATTTATTTACAGATTAAATGTATTTACAATCTATGGCAAGCAATGAATGTATATAATGGCATATTTGAACCGAGTAAACTGTGGGAGTTTGTTATCACAAATTAATGGACAAACAAACAGACAAAAACAAACATGTAAACAAAAATTAAACAC